CACCTCTCACACACCCTGGCCTTACCACACACCTCACACACACACCCTGACCTCACACACACACCCTGGCCTTACCACACTCACACACCCTAGTATTACCACACACCTCTCACACACCCTGGCCTTACCACACACCTCACACCCTGGTTAGGTTAGGGTGAGGAATGAGGGAGGTCAGGTGTTGAGTCAGGTTAGCAGGTGTTAATTAGAAAGTACAGCTGGCGGTGACCCAAGACCTGACCAAAGCGGGGGCTGGTCTGAGTGGCCCCGGTCCTAATAGGTCTTTAAATATTTGAATTAGGTCTTGGTATATTGAAAGTATTTGTCTATGTATGTATGTATGTATGTATGTATCTATCTATCCATCTATCTATGTGTATCCAACCTAACCTAACCTAAACCACCTTTAACCTAACCTAACCCTTAACAAAGCTACACAGAGCGTCAACTTTAGTGGGAAATAGTCGATCTCAGTTGAAATCGTGGAAGTGTGAATCTCTTCTACGTAACCTTCGATGAGCCAATAATTCCGGGTTGTGTACGAGACGGGTGTTCGGACGTGCCTGGCCTGACGTTCACTACCAACCTGATGTAGGAGAATATATCAGAAGGCAGGATAGGAGGCTCTCATACGGCAGGATAGACTGAGAATGGAAGAAAACTCCCAAAGGGTAAACCAGGAAGGGATAGGAGGCACTCAGACGGCAGGATAGACTCAGGATGGCAGGATAGGCATGATGAACTGGGAAACCTATGTTGATTAGTTCGTGGAAAGTGACAGACAGTATACTGAGGGAGGACACACACAGACAGACACAGACACAGACAGACACAGACAGACAGACAGAGAGACAGAGAGAGAGAGAGAGAGAGAGAGACAGAGGTGATGGAGGGCGTCACCGCTACCTACACTCAGGTGTGGTTCTCAACTTTGCATCTTTATGTCTCACATATTATCCCACTCCAAGTCCTGTCAGGTCCCTCCCCCACTCCAGGTCCTGTCAGGTCCCTCCCCCACTCCAGGTCCTGTCAGGTCCCTCCCCCACTCCAGGTCCTGTCAGGTCCCTCCCCCCACTCCAGGTCCTGTCAGGTCCCCCTCCAGGTCCTGTCAGGTCCCTCCCACTCCAGGTCCCGTCAGGTCCCTCCCCCACTCCAGGTCCTGTCAGGTCCCTCCCCCACTCCAGGTCCTGTCAGGTCCCTCCCCCACTCCAGGTCCTGTCAGGTCCCTCTGATGATGATGATGATAATAATAATAATGATAATTGTTCAGTAATTTTATCTTATGGTTAGTGTTTTGTTGTTGTTTATTGATGTTGTTGTTGTTGTGTACCGTTTAGGTCATAATTATCTGGACACTTGGTATATTATTCGGGGTGTAGTTGTAAGGCCATGTATGTATGTATGTATATAGTTGGTGAACGTTTTTTTATTGGTTTATAGTTGTGAACGTTTTTAGTAGCTGTGAACGTTTTTGTTGGTTTCTGGTTGTGAACAGTGTACATATAACTTACTGTATGGTGTACATGTAACAAACGGTGTACGGGGGGTGGGGGGGGCGGGAGGGGGAGGGGGAGGACACACTAAACAATTTGGCAGGGGCGGTCCACCCAGTGATGGCTCTACAGGGTATAATTTGCCACCCTACTGACTCCCACACTGAGCTGCCTGTAGCGCCACCATCCTTCTTGTTGTTGTTGATGCTGTTGATTTGTCGTCGTCTTCTTTATTCTTGTTGTTTTTGTTATTGATCTTGTTTTTCTTGTTTCTTCTTCTTCTTCCTGGGTGTGGGTCGTAGTAGTTGTAGTAGTAGTAGTAGTAGTTGTAGTTGTAGATAGTAGTAGTAGTAGTAGTAAACACAGTGTTAGGTAGCAGCCACCTGGGCGGGGCAGGTGACTCGCGCTAATTACCTCCGCACCTTACCTGTAAAGCTCCGCCCACAGCCAAGCAAAGAATGTTCGTGGCGTGGGCGTGGCGAGGGTGGTACGGGCGTAACTTGGGCGTGGCGATGAATATGTAGGCGTAAAGGGAGAGATATGGGCGTGAGGGAGGGCAGTGGACAGCATCTATCCTGGGGAAAAAAATCGTAAGTCCTTATTTAGGAAGAAGAAAAACCCAGGATGAACAAGGATGGGTTTAATAGTTACGTTAAATCATACTATAAAACAAATTATATGTCCCTCATGAAAGACTTCCACCAGTCAGGTCAGGAAGGCCGAAAATTACAATAACATAGAAGCACCTGAAGATTAACCACCCCCAGGTAATTTAACTTGATAGCTAAACACCTTTACACTACCTGGGGGGGGGGGTTAGGTTAGGTTAGCTTAGATTGGGTTAATTAGTGTACCTTTGCTTGTATTTAATTACCTGTACTTGTAATTAATTAATGTACCTGTACTTTATTAGACCTTATCCATATATGGTTTAATTAATTACTCTACCTGTATTTTACCTGTACTGTAATTAATTAATGTACCTGAACTTACTGTAACTATTCACTTAATTACTGTATTTACATATCTAATTAATCACCATACCTCTATATACTGTAGCTAAATTACATAACAATTATGTAACCAAATTTCATGACTACTTTCTCGTTGACAGGTTGGGCGTGGAGGGTGGGGATGTGGGCGGTGTGAGTGGGCGGACGGTGAAGGAGGGTGGCAGAGGAGGTGGTGCACAAGAGGAGGCCGACAAAACCACCAAAGGACGAGGAAGGTAAGTTCAGGTGTGGTGCAGGTGTGGTGCAGGTGTGTACAGGTGTGGTGTAGGTGTGTACAGGTGTGGTGTAGATGTGGTGTACAGGTGTGATGTCTGGTACCCTGTTGTGTGTTGTGGTACTTAGGCAGTAGGTATGCATTGGGGGGTATGATGGCGTGTGATTGGCTGATGAGAGAGAGAGAGAGAGAGAGAGAGAGAGAGAGAGAGAGAGAGAGTTTAAGTTGACCCGAAGAAAAATTTAATCTACAAATCATTAAAAATAAAAACCTAACCTAACCTAACGTAGAAAGTTATTTAAATTAGTTTAGTTTAATAATATTCAAAGTTCTTAATGAGAGTTCTACTACAAGTAAGAGCCTAATTAGACCCTCTTAATTACCATGTACTGTACGATAGTTTGGGACGTGACTACAGGCGCTGACCATCCACTATCAGTACTGGCGGGCGTATGATGTTTGTTTACCTCTATAGAGTATTGTTTCTCTAACTCTACTCAGGGTTTTCTCACACCTGGCACCCCCACATGCCATGTTTGTTGATGGGGGAGCCAGATGTGTGCTGGTAGTAGGTACACATACCTACACAAACACATTTATACATATTTATACGCACATACTTATACACACATACTCTTACACATATTCACACACACATTGATACACACTTTCACACACATACTTGTACATACATGTGGCGACCTGTGGTGTAATGGTTAGCATGTTCGCCTCGCAAACGAGCGGACCCGGGGTTCGATCCCGAGACAGGGTGAAACTTTGGGCAAGTTTCTTTACGCCATTTGCCTCTGTCTACCCAGCAGTAATTGGGGACCTGGATTTGCTGATCGTGTTCCGAGGTTATGGTTAACCAGTGCAGTTGGCGAGTTGTCCGGTCATCTCGGACTATTCCTTGACACTGGGCCATGCAGCTCGTTACCTCAGGGTGTGGTTGTTGTGTTGGCGACAGCTTCTACACCTTAAACAAAACACGCCTAGGTGGCCCTTGGGCCGGCCATCCTTGTTATACGAGGGGCGACCATTATATTATTATACATATACATACACATACACACACACATACACTTATATACAGTACACACACAGACACACACACGCAGAGTTGTATGACGTCAGGGATGAGAGTCAGAGTTGAGTGGTAAATACCAAGAAACATACACGTGTCTGCCAAGCGTCGACCCCCTACCCCTTACCCACCCCACACACCTCCCCCCTCCTTCCCCCCACACACCTCCCCCCTCCTTCCCCCCACACACCTGCTATTTCTGATGTGTGGGAAGCAGAGTGGTGTTTAGTCCGGGTCCTCTTTGTGTGTGTGTGTGTGTGTGTGTGTGTGTGTGTGTGTGTGTGTGTGTTACCTGGATACAGTACTTGAAAATATTCAACCAGGTAAATCTTTGAGGATCCACCACGTGTGTCGTCTCTCGGTGCCATCCCCTTGGCACTGAGTCCGTCTTACCCAGAGTGCTACTGTGGCCCTCCTCCCACTTAACATAGGGTGCCAATGTGGCCCTGTGTGGTTCTTGCTCAGAGTGCCAGTGTGGTCTCTCTGCCTATCATCCCAGGGTGCCACTCTGAATATGTGTGTCCAGAGCCCTTGGCCATTTAATAAGTGGCCTAAATATTTATATAATGACCCCAGAGCCTAGATAATGACCCCAGCAGACAGTAATGACCTTGTGCTTCGTATTTCCACTTATGCTATTATCGCTACGTCACGAAACAAGGGGATGGGGAGAAGTGAGGGAAAGTTTGGCAGATATCAGGTAACAGTTCTGAGAAGTAGGTAGCGTGTGCCAACCTGACCCCCCCCCCACCCCCCACTCCCTCCACCAGTCCGTCCTCTCCCTTCTCCCCTCTACTCCCTCCATTCCCTGTACTCCCTTCTCTCCCTCCTTCCCCTCCCTCCCCTCCATCTCCCTCCACCAATACCTCCCACATCGTGTACTCGTCCAAGAACACACACACACACACACACACTTAACACCTCTCAACTCATACTTAAGACTCACCACCTACTTATAACCCCCCACGCTGCTCTATTACTTATAAATCACACGCTTAAGTACAGGTACAGATCTAAGTATTAACCACAGGTACAGAAATTCCCACCTGGCTGTACCTGTAATTAAGGAAATTAGTTGAGGTTACTTACCTTTTTGTATCTGTAACTGTACTTGTATTTGAATACTGTACCTGTAGTTACACCTGTCTCTACCTGTTCCTACACCTGATCCCACACCTGTATCACCTGATCCCACA